GAGCACCCCCGTATCGAGATAGGGCCACAGCCAGGCTATCCGCCAAAGATGGAAAAAGACGATATGGACCAACAACGCCACCTGAGTATCCATGGTGAGCTCTGTGTCCAGATGGATCCCCAGGATGCGAACCCCACTCTTTGCAGCAAGGGTCGCCTGCCCCAAACAAGAGAGTCACCCAAGCCACCAATAGTGGGGGCACCTACTCTCAGAACCTCCGTCTTGTCCAGGTTCAGCCTCAGCCCATTTTCCTGCATCCAATGCAGTACAGCCCCCAGGCAGCGCTGAAGGGACAAAACGGCATCTCCTGCAGTTGGTGGAAAGGAGATGTAGAGCTAAGTGTCATCAGCATACTGATGACATGATGCCCCGCACCCCCTGATGACCCCACCCAGCAGCCTCATATAGATTTTAAACAGCATTGGGGAGATACTGTGGAACCCCCCAGTTGAGACTCCACAGGGCTGAGACACTTTCCCCAAGCTGTACTCTCTCCCCCAAGAAGAAGCAGAGCCAGGCAAGCGCCAGGCCACCAATTCCCAACTCAGAGAGCCTCCCCAGGAGGATATAGTGGTCAACGGTGTCAAAGGCCGCCGAGATGTCGAGAAGGACCAACAGAGATATTTTACCCCTGTAAGCCTCCCTCAACAGGTCATCATACAGGGCGACCAATGCCATCTCTGTACCGTGGCGCGGCCTGAAGCCCGACTGAAATGGATCCAGGGCGGATGACCTCCACTTTAGATTTAAAAAAATGCTGCAAATTGTAGTAATAAGTGGGCACTAGATTAAATCAGGCCTGAACTCTCTCTAGAAACATGACTGATCTGAGGTTATTTTATAATGAGAAGACTAATGGAGAAAAAAAATAAAGCTTGGTAGATTACAAGGCAGCAGGAAAGAGAGGAGTATTGAATATGAGATGGATTGATTCAATAAAAGAAGCCATGACCTTTAGCTTGCAAAACCTAAGCAAGGTGTTAATTGGAGGTCATTAATTAATAAAGTTGTTATAAGTCAGGAACAACTTGTTATCACAGAACACACACACATGTAGTGCAAGTGTTGTATAGTTTATATTATTTGTGAATTGGCATAATTGAATATCTCTAGTTTTCACTCTGTCTCCTGATTATTGCTGCAGTGTTTTAATCTCTTGATATCTCTTAAAGTTTTTTCTTTTGATACTATATTTGTCTCTTTTCTGCTGTTTCTTTCACCCCATTGTAATTGTGATTATGAATCACTCACAGATAATTCTTGGCAGATAATAAATATAAAGGATGAATGATCATTGTTTCATTCTTGTATGCTAACATGAGAGCTTTGTTAAACTCAAGGGTGCAATATTTAACCTTATTAATAATAATAATGTGTGGAAATATTACTTGTTTTATTGGTAGAGATGGTTATTTTTCTTTCCCACTCTATCAAACTTGGAATTTGTTTGATCAGTGGCTAGAAGCACGTTGTATAGATTAAGGACTTAACATGTATTGTAGATGTATCAACAAATGACTATAAGCAGAACCCAGGGGACATGATGTTAAAAAAATACGGACAGGCTTTGTAAATAATAATTTTTAAAAGAAATTTTAAAAATAATAAGAATGTGTAGAAATATTACTTGTTTTATTGGTAGAGATGGTTGTTTTTCTTCCCCACACTTTAACTAGTAAATGTTTTAATCTTTCCTCTTTCTTTTTCCTTCCATCAGGTGTGATTATTGTTCCAAGTGCTGGTGTTGGTATTGTCCTAGGGGGCTACATTATTAAAAAGCTCAAACTCAGTGCAAGAGAATCGGCAAAATTGGCAATGATCTGCAGTGGTGTATCTCTACTGTGCTTTTCAACACTCTTCATTGTTGGTTGTGAAAGCATTAATCTAGGGGGCATAAATATACCATATACCACAGGGTGAGTGGCTTTTGACTTTCTTAATAATACATGCCTTGCATCAAAGCTAAATAAATATAGTAACATTGCTCCCTCCCCCTCAACCATTAAAGAACTTAAAAGCCCTTTAATCAATCAAGGAATGAAGAGATTTATTGAATAGCCAGACTTTGAAGGTCTAGTGAATGACTTGCCCAATAGGCCACAGGATTAGAGCATATAGATTTCTCTGCATTGTTCAATGAAGAAAGTGTACGCTTTGTTGAATATTATGCATCCTATGCAGAGCCAGGCACATATGGTCTTGAAGACACATGACACCATCAGTTTATTAAAATGCTGTAAGCTTGGGTGTGGTTAGAGCTTGAATACAAGACTGTCACATACACTTCATATATAGCACATTGAGTTCCATGTTTGAAGAAATCCAAGGTACAACAGAACTTAGAAAAATTACTTTTTGATCTACAACTTCCAGAATTCCACAACTAATTGTTTTGCTAGCTATGGGCTTATAGGAGTTGTATTTCAAACAAGCTGCTTTCCCAGTTTCTGGGATAAAGAGGTATTAAGTAAAGTAGGCAGAGCGCCTTCTCCCACCCAGTTCCGCCACAGTCACTCGTTCCAGCCAGGCCGGGCTGCTGAGGGACCTAATGCCGAGGGAGGTCCAGAAGGAAAGAACGAGGAACTGGGCTTTCTCGGCAGTGGCCCCTCGCCTCTGGAACAACTTGCCTGGGGAGATCCGCCTGGCTTCCTCTCTGGGTGTCTTCAGAAGCAAGAAGCACTCTCTGGGTGTCTTCTGGGTGTCTTCAGAAGCAAACTCAGGATCTGGCTATTTGGGCAGGCTTTCCCTCCTGCTGTATCCTAAATTCACACCTTACCATCTTAGATTTATAGTGCATGTTTGTTGATTTAACTGTTTTTTTAAATTTGTAATGCCACCCAGAGTAGACCTTTGGTCTGATAGATGGGCGGGGTAGAAATCCAATAGAAATAAATAAATATTTATTCTCCGAGGAGAAAAAAATAGACTAATGTGCAAACCTCTGCTGAGGGAAGACAAGAATTTGTGGGTGAAGAAGGAAGGAATCGGACCTTTTTATAAGCAGAAATGTGGATGATTATTTTTGGAGAGATGCAGCTTTCACAGTCCCCAGCCAGTATGGCCAGTGACTCTGCTCCCTGGAGACTTTGTGGTGTTTTAGTCCAAATAATAATAATAATAATAATCTTTAGTTATGAATCATTGGACTCATGATGTCTTAGTCAGTTGTCCTTGTGCACATCCTAGGAGAATCTGTCCAGCTGCAATTGAAAGGGGATGCTGGACTGGAGGGTTCTGGTTCTCATCCAGCTGGGCAACATTCCCTTATTTGCATGTTCTCATATCGCACCTTTCTCATATATATGTCTTCTATTTTAAAGTAAAGCCTCTTTAAGTAAGTGGCTTGCATTTTCCTTTCATAGCTGTTGCATGTTTCCAGTTGCTGTATAAATATTAATATGTGTATTTCTTCCTGGAGCACAGGACAAAAACGGACTGTTCTGAAAAATCTTATCTCTAACCACCGCAAAATTTAATTAAAAGTATTACTTTTTGGCAGTGCATATGTATCCTTAAAACTACTTTGCTGGAAGGGTATCCAAAATGTGATGGCTCAGTGTAAAATGCAGGTTTGAGCTTGGAAAGACGACTAATGGTTCTCTGTGTGTATACCCTTAAGGTTACATTAGGCTGCAGAATTTTAAAAAGTACTTGGAGGTTTAGCCTGAAAAGATGTTCTGCAAAATGGTTGACTCAGTCCTACACTTGCTGATAATTTCAGCAAGTCCCATAATTTCCCTTTATCATCAGAAAACTCAAGGACATTCTCTTTTTTATAAGTTAAAGCACCAGTTGTGGTGGCTCCAGACTTTTAATTCCCAGATATGCTGCTGGAAAAATTGCACACTTAAGCACAGGAAATATTTTTGCTGTGTGTTTACTGGAAGCTTTCACTCAGATCATGGGATATTTCCAGCCAAGTTTGTTCTCCACCTTGAAACTGCAATGCATCGTTTTTAGCATTAGGGATGGGGGTTGCAGGCAGTGCCATCAGCCATTTGTAATCTTCTATGTTGCCTCATCTCTTCTTCAGCCTTTTTTCTAACTGCAAAAATCCCTTAAGGAGGGAATAACTGAGTAGCCACAGTGTCTTGTGACTGGTGGCAACAAGAGTCATTAACCTGGAAACATTATTTGTCTAATGTTTTTCAGGTGTCCCTTTGGTCTAGATGGGCGGGGTAAAATCCAAGCAAACAAACAAACAAACAAACAAACAAACAAACAAACAAACAAACAAACAAAATATTTTTCAGGTGTCCAGTTATGCAGTATGGGCAACAATTTCATGTTTGATGATATAAATAAATAAATAAATAAACAAAATATTTTTCGGGTGTCCAATTATGCATTATGGGCAACAATTTCATGTTCGATGAAATTTCTCTTCAATAGCTCCAACATGTTGGTGAAGAAGTAGTTTCACCTGTAGAAAGTCTGTAATAACCCTTTCCTCAAACTGTCTAGAATAACGGTTGTTCCTGTGCCGAAAACATCAATACGTCTGTCTACTTACCTATCTTGTACAGCAGCCATTCTCAATTGTTTTTGGATAGAGTGATTAACACAATATGAAAGAAATATAGGGCAAATCAGTATTGTACAAGTCACATAATGAACCTTATAAGGTGCTGTATGAAGAATTGTTTCCTGTCTGTGGCCCCCTTCAGATGTGCCATATAGCCACCATTGAAAATGGCAGCTGTACAGGATCCCCTTTAAATTGCATTAATTTTATTGGTGGCATGTGTTTGAATTTCTGTGGATAGGTGATAAAATAGATGATATTACATGTACAAAATTGTAACAAATCCTAACTTCATCCATATGCTAATTTTAAAATCTGTGTTAAGAGTTATATTTCTTCTAGGCCAACAAAAGCGCACAAATATGTATGCAAGTTTGTAATGGTAGCGATTAAGCAGAAAAAATATTGGGGCCGTGATCAATAGTTCAAATCAAAACCTGCAGTAATGATTAATGTGTTTTGGGAAGAACTAAACTTAAAACATGGATACATTTTGGCATACTGTTTACTGTTCTGGAGATCTCAACTCTTATCTGAAAAAACATTGGCACAGAGTTGAAGAAAGTACAGAAGAGACCAAGGAAATGATCCACAAGCACTTTAATTGGCAAATTGAGCCTCCAGGTTTAGATAATGAGCAGTTGTGAGGCTTGTGTGCAAATAAAAATGGTAGCACATACTTTCCTTTGTGCTTTGTACTTTGCATATAGGTTTTCCAAAAGAAGATGCTGACCCAAAAGCATCCTTCTTATGTCAAGTGTCCCCTCAAACTAATTAGTCTTCATTGCATTGGTTAGAAGTCTATAGTAGTCTATAGTAGTAACAGATAATGGTATCTCTTTGGGTGTGTGTGTTTCTGCGATAGCTCTAAGACCATGAAAGCCTAGGCATCTAAAACCTGGCATGCATACAGAAGGATCTTGGAATGTCCATCTCAGGTGTTTTAAAAAATGAATTAATGTTTAAATGAAATAATTAATTTAAATTAACTGAAAATTCGTTTGTAGTTTGCAGTATCATCTTCATTCGCTAGGTGCCTGACCATTAAATAGGAAGCTATACTCAGACCTGGTAAATTTATCCCTGTGAAAATCAGAAGCAGAGTAGAAAAAATTCTAGATATAACTTCTGTTCCCTTCTGCATGTTTGCAAACTATTAAAAAAGTTAAAAGAGAACGGGAGAGGAAAAATTCCTGCTATCAGGTATGGGAAGTGGAAGAAGTGTGAGCAGAGAGGAAAAGTGAATGAACCTCAAGGTAGAGATAATGAACAGTGAGAAAGGAAAGGCATGGAGCTAGGAAAAAAGGAGGAAAACAGAGGAGAAACGAAAGAGCATGTGGTTCTTCTTTGTGGCCTCTGTGAATCACACTCTGGATGATCGATGCCTGCCCAGAGCCCCATTGGAAAGTCCTAGAGTTTCTCCAGTAGCAAAAAAACCACATTAGAATAAGGCCTCTCCCCCCCTCGTATAAATTCCTGGCGCCAAGGCTCCCCTTTCAGTTTTCTATCAACTGTCACATTGAGAGCCTCATAGTTCTGTTTCTGTGAGTAAAAGAGAGAGAGTTTATTCCTGAGTCCTTCCTATTATCAATCTTTTTCCTTTAAACTTGTAGATCAAATTCATTATCATCAGAGATTTTTTTTCTTTTCTACTCCGGCTGCAGCACCCCCCCATCGTTTTTTCTCAAATTATTTTCTACCTATTCATGGTCCCTTTGGGCCCGTTTAAACACTGCTTGGTCTGTGATAACAAAATACCACTCTTGGATGGCCACGCCAATTGTCTTTTTTGCTTGGGAGAGGCACACCAGAAGTCCTCCTGCCAGCATTGTAAGAACTTCAAGCACGGAGTCCTTTGTTCTCACTTATCCAGATTAAGACTCTGTCTTTGGGAACAATCCGTTCAACCAGCCAAAATGGCCCAACCTCCTTGTAAAGCCACCTCACAAACCAAAGCAATGGACAAGGTTCTTTCAGAAGCCTCAAAACAACGTTCATCGACCATGCCATCCCACTCCGACGCTTCGTCTAAAACTTCAAAAACACATAAATTGAAGCGTTCATTACCAAAATCCTCGATATCGAAGCCCTCCATTAAACGTCAAATGTCCACTGTAGCCTCTTCGGTTCTGGAGCCTTCTACGCCTAAAAGACCTAAACAGCATAACTCTAACGCTGCAGTCATTTCTCAGCAGCCTCAACAAATCGGCAAATCAATCTCTATTGGTTTGCTTTCTGATGAACTCTCTCATCAACCCTGCTCCCAATCACTGGAATGACAGGGTTGATCAATTAACATCTTCTCCTCCCAGTCCTCAACACTGTGTTCTCTCAAGCAACCCTTCCGTAGTTGCTTCACCTGACAGGGTCGACTCCGAACAACCTTGTTGA